CAAAAATATATATATACAAACATATATGTATATATATACACATATATGTATATATATACACACACATATATATGTGTATATATATATATCCTTGATATATATACACACACATATATACACACACACACACACACATATATATATATATCAAGGAAAACTTCCTGCAAGATCGTTGACTAAAGGAACCAGGCATGCTGGCATGCTTCCCTCCCTCTCGCAGCAAAGAGTCAACAGGAAAGGGTAAACATTTTATATTTACCCAGAATAGTTGGGGAAGGCAAGTTCTGGAGTACAACAGGAAGTAGCAGATGAGTACTCCAAGCAGAAGTGCATGGAGACCAGGATGGACATATAAAGAGGAGACAGGGGGACCAGCAGGTGGCATGGTGACTAAGGTGCTGGACATTCCCACATGGCCAACCATGGTTCAAGTCCCAGACCTGTTGGCTTTCTTTCTCTGGTCAAATTAAAATAAATGAATGAATAAATAAATAAATAAATAAAAAAGAGGAGACAGAAGCACCTTGCAGCTACCTCCCCATCTCCTCCCTTGGTAGCAGCTCAGTGACAGAGGGACTTCTCACAGTGGGAAGAGATGAGCGGGAGAGTCCCCAGCAGACCTCATTGATGTCACAGACATCTGAAGTCTTTACCACAAGGGAATCCTATATTCCTCATGGGCCCTGCGCCCAGCCGGGGGAACTACCAGGAAGTCCGCATTACTATATGTCCTCAGAGGGAACCCAGTCTGTCCTCAACCCTCTTCTACCCAGTTAGTTATTGCACATTACTGCCTTGCGGACTCGCCCACCCAGGCCCACAGTCAGTACTGCAATCCTGTGCAGTACATCTCAGTGATGAGAATGGCCTTACCAAACTGAGGCCTGTGGAGACAGGCTGACTGACCCACACACAGCACACCGGCACCAGGAGTATTCCCACTTGCCCACAACTGACCTAAGCAGCTGATGACCCAGTCTCAGGTTTGAGCCACACTCGGAGCCAGAGGAGCAATTCCACCCACCCACAACCCACCGTGCCTTTAAGAGTGCTGGATCTTAGCTGGTGAACCAGCCCCATAAATCCCTAATGTCAAGGCTATTATAAAGCACAAAAACTGAAGGAATTAATCATCACTAAATCAGTCTTGCAAGAAATGCTTAAAGGAGTCACACATCTAGAAATGAAAGGATGGTCAGCCAAACACCTAGCGAAACAAGAATCCATGTGTATCTGAGGTGGGCCCAGCCCTGCCTATTTAATCGGAAAGCCTCTGACCCAAACTTCTCCTTCCAGCCCAACACCTAGCAAAACGAGAGGAAAGAACAGCCCTTCATCATAGACAGACAGTACAATGGAACTCACAGAAATCTCAGATAAAGAATTTAGAATATTCATAGTGACAAAGCTAACAAAGATGCAAGACAAGACAGACAACAAACTCCAGAAGATGCAGGAGAAAAGAGACAATGAGTTCCAGGAGGTGAGGAGGTTCTTGCATGATCTGAAAGAAGAAATACACCCCATAAAAAAAGAATCAAATGGAACTGTTAGAGATGAAGGCTGTAATGCAGGAAATTAAAACCTCCCTTGAAAGTAGTAAATGCAGATTATATCATGCAGAAGTTCGAATCTCAGATATAAAAGACAGAACCTCTGACCTAGAAAAAATACACCAAAAAGACTGAGAAAATAACTCCCTCCAGAAAAATGAGAATAATATATGAGTAATACTAGATACTGTTAGACGTCCAAACATCCAGATGATCAGTATCCCAGAATGTTGAGGAAACTAATAAGGACATTGATAATCTATTCTGTGAAATGCTGGAAGAAAACTTTCCAAATCCAGAGAGGCATTCAAATATCCAGACCCAAGAAATACAAAGGAGCCCACATAGAATCAACCCAAGATCTTCTCCAAGGCACATCATAGCCAGATTGGCCAAAACCACTGGCAGAGACAAGGTACTAAAATTGACAAAAGAAAAATACCAAGTTACTTTCAAAGGATATCTCATCAGGCTAACATCAGATCTCTCTTCAGAAACAATGCAAGCAAGGAAGAAATGGGAAAATATATTCAAGACGTTAAGGGAAAAACAATATCAACCAAGAATACTGTACCTGGCAAGATTATCCTTCATATGGGAAGAAAAGCCCAAAACATTCTCAGATAAACAAAACCTGAAAGAATTTACCAACACCAGACCAGCTCTTCGAGAAGTTCTGAGGATAGTGCTATACCAGGAAACCTAAAGACAGACAGAAATAAGAGGGGAAAAAATGACCAAGAAAAACTTAATGGTAGGGGTAAGTTCAGAAATGTCAATAATAATGTTGAATGTTAACTTCCAGTATTTTAACTTCCAGAAAGATCAGACCACAGTAACACTGCAAATTCAATGAAAGAGAGATTACATGAGACTGAACTGGTGAAACAGAATTCTATGACTTTTGTCTAAAACATATTGATTTTCTTCGTTGCTTTGTCTTCCAGATTTAAGGATTTTGCTTTTCTTTTTAGTGGTTGTTAAGTTCAGAAATTTAAAAAAAAAAATTTTTTTTTAATTGAAACAGAAACTTTTCTCCCTTCCTAACCCCTTTGCAATTAGAAAATATTTGTACCGAACTGGTGAAACAGAATTCTATGACTTTTGTCTAAAACATATTGATTTTCTTCGTTGCTTTGTCTTCCAGATTTAAGGATTTTGCTTTTCTTTTTAGTGGTTGTTAAGTTCAGAAATTTAAAAAAAAAAATTTTTTTTTAATTGAAACAGAAACTTTTCTCCCTTCCTAACCCCTTTGCAATTAGAAAATATTTGTACCTCTTTTTTTGAGAGAGATTTTCGCTATAGGGTGCATGCGCTCACCAGACAGACAGAGAGAGACATAGAGACAGAAAGTGAGAAATCACCCCTGAGAGGGGATGGTCACACCGCAATCCCTTCTCCTCCATTCTCCTCTCGGGATCTTGGGCACACACGCACACTAACCCGGCATGAGGTTTAAGGGTCCAGGACGCAAACCGTGGTCGACTACGTGGGAGTCCAGTGACATAGCCATTACGCTAACTGCTGGTTCCCAGTTTGTACCTCTCTTTAGTAAAAGGGGGAATGAGAGAGAAAAAAAAAAGTTTCAGAAGAAAATTACAGTGCTCTTGTCACTAGATTCTAGTTTTGTCCATATTTTTAGTTTAAGATCCTTTGTGAATCAATAAAATGTGAAAAAAAGTTTAGTATGGAAGGGAGGGAGGTGAAGAGGGAAGGAAAAAAAACAGGTAAAAGTATGCTTAATTGACAAAAAAAATGAGAAGCTATTTGCTGATGATAATGTACACAGTAATATCTTTGTCTTGACAGACATTCATGGTATTTGTGCTAGAAAAAGAAATGTACACTGTAAAGACCTGATAAATGTACATAAATAAATAAATAAATAAATAAATAAATAAATAAATAAATAAATACCATCCTTATCTGGGATATAAGCCAAAATAATAATAATCATAGTAATAATCATAATCCTCTATACTTACCAGACTTTGTAGTTTGAGCCATCATTGGCATTAATGTTAAAGTGTTTAGAGCATTTGTGACCTTAGAAACTGTCTATGGTGGAGCCAATGATGGCATAGTGGTTAAGGACTGGACTCTCACATGGCTGACCATGGTTGAGTCTGGGACCCAGAGGCTTGAGACTCACACCAGGCGCATGTGTGTGCATGTCCAATTCTCCAAGAGGAGAATGGAGGAGAAGAAACTGTGGTGTGGTCATCCCCCCTAAGGGCAGATTTCTCACTTTGTCTCTCTCTGTCTCTCCAACAAGAGCATAGGCCCTATAGTGAAAATTTCTCTTAAAACAAAAAAGGAAGAAACTGTCCATGGCAAGCTCCTCATCTTACAGATGAAACGGTGGATTCTCTTTGCCAAATAACACACTACTAATTAGTGGCTGAAGGAAGACCAGTCACATCTCCAACTTTCCTAGCCAACCTTGCTCTTAGAAAAGAAAACAGCTAATTATGCCTCACAGGAACATCTCACCCTTATTTTACTGCAAAACTGTCCCTCTCATAGATAATTTCTTCATTTGGTTGGGGGGGGTGGTTCATAATGCAAAAATGTTTTATTTCTCCTTCTTTTTATTTGATTGTGTGACCGTTTGGGTTATAAGTGTTCATCACCCAGTACATCCCAATGAATGTATCAAGAGCTGCTATTTCAGAGATGTCTTTGTAAAGCAAGAATCATCTGGTAAATATGCTTACTCACTCCTGATGTATCTTTTTTGTGTAGGTTTTTAAGTGGAGGTGAAATTCTACACTCCTCTGACACAATTATCTGTGGTAGGAGGCTTTCTCTTTTTCTAACCAGGTGTACGATGATGAGGTGAATTCCTGCATAATATTCACTTTTCCCACTTGTCCCCAAAGAGACTTGTCTAGTCTGGAAAACCAAAGCTCAGCTGTTGCTCTAAGGCAGTCCGCAAGGTATAGAAGCCAGGCTGGAATTTCAGGCTGAAATGAACCTTCCTCTCATTGTTCACTTCTCAACTCACCTGCCTGTGGATGGGGCTCTTGGAGAAAAGAAAGAGACATGACAATTATGCTGGGATCAAGCCTCTATAGGCTGTAATACTTGGGCTTCTTCCTTTTTCAGATGGTCGAGTCAAATGAAGATATAGACCAAATGTTCAGCACTTTGCTGGGAGAGATGGCTCTTCTGACCCAGGTGAACTCTTCTTCTTAACTTCCAAACTAGGAAAAAAAAAAAAATGGTGCTACAGAATTTGATTTTTAACCTGACAAGAGAGTTATCTTAAAGGAAGGAAGGAAAAAAGGAAAGATCGGGGGCAGGGGTGGGTGAGGAAGAAAGAAGTTAGTTAGTTGAGGTGGACAATATTATGTATTCCTATTATATATTCCTACTATAACAATGACAGTGGTATGGGAGGGGGGCGTTTCCCTAATTCGACCCTTCTGAATCCAGTTCATGTAATACTTCAGCCACACACACACTCTGTTATAGCAAGGCTCATGCTCATCTTAGCTCAATATTTGCTTACAGAGGAATTTTCCCCAAACAACCACGACTACTGAGCAATCTCCTCTGTGGCTGTGCACATGAAAACTAGCCTAGATAGTAGTATCATCTTTAGCAAAGATTATCTTACCAATCTTTGAGGAAATGTGATATTTTAGAGGACTAAATAGGAATTATTGTGACCTCCTGATTAGACTGTAAGAACTTAGTCTCTCAAAACAGTTTGCAAGCCACTTAACCACAGGCTGTAGGTCCAAGAAAGGCCACTGATATTGAGACCAGAGTAACTCAGAGGCCACCCGATTGACAGCTACTGGAACCCAGCAGCTGCCAACACAAGGGCCACTGCCCCAGGTTACAAAGTCAGGAAAGCTCTCACACATGAGATTCAGAGGATGGTCATGTCATCACATACTGCTACAATATCGAATAAGAATAACCTCATAGTCCTAAATAAGATAGGGATTGTAAATGTTTCCTAAAAAGAAATGGAGATTAGTTTATGTTCTAAAAAATATATATTTATTTTAGGAAAATGTAAGCCAATTTTAGTTAGCATCTACTTTGTGTTCCCAATAAAATCCAAGAAAGTCGAAGTCTATGAAAGAAGACAAAACATGAGACAATAGACTTAGAAGAAAAGGCACTGATTAAAAGCCGGGTGCCAGGATGGTAACCTCATTTGTAAAATGACGATTTCTCTTTCCTCCTTGATGGGCGAGAGTTTGACTGAACATTTGTGGTCTCCCTCTGTCCATTCCACTCACGTCTGCTGCAAGTGATAGAAATGACTGTTCAAATTGGTCAGAGTCTGGGATTTTCTTGAGACCACAACTGAAGATTGTCACTGGACTCAAGAATAGGAAGGAGGCCCCTCAAGTGTCTTGGGCCTGCCTTCACTCAAAGCCCCATTGGTTTTCCCTCTTTCTTTGTGCCCCTGTGGATGTAATCACAGGGTTTACTAGGCTAGTACAGCTCTCCCAACAGCGAGGTCCCACGATTTCAGGGTAAGGAAAAGGCCCTACTTTGTCCTCAGGTCTAAATTCTCTTCTTCAATTGGGCCATTATCAATTGCTATTTGAGATTATTGGATATTTTCTCAGCCACTAGAAAAGCTTCTGTTTTGATTTTTGTTAGTGAATTACGTGCCTTCGCTAGCATTTAAAAGCTACATGTGCTTGAGAGGGGTCTCTGATCCTCTACTTGCAACCAGATGAAGTCAGTATCAAACCCAAGTTCAGCTGCTTGCCACTCAATGGCTGACACTCGAGAGACAAGCTTTTGTGGAGAATAAAGGTGGCTTTATTCAGGAAGCCAGCAACCTGGGGAAGAGAGCAGGCTTGTATCTAAAAACCATCTCCCAGATCAAATTTAAATTTTACCAGTCATGGACCTTTTTAAGCTGAGAATAAAAGAAGCAAAGCATATTAGTTTGCTTCACCCACTGATCTAAAACCAATTAATGAATTTCTTTGTAGTCTCTTTCACTCAATTGTTTGTCCTGCTGTTTGTCCCATAGTCTGTCCTTCAGGCTCCCCTTTTCTAGGCAATTTTTAAACATGAGTGATGCAGCAATAATACAAATAGGCCCACATAGAAAGGACCTGGGTTCAAGACCCAGGACCTCCTTGTGCATACCAGGCACAAGTGAGGATCAGACTGGCTAGGGGTGGATTGCAGCATGAAGGCTCTGTTGGTAATGCTGGTATGTCTGTCTCTCTATATAGCTATCTCTCTCAGAAGAAATAAATAAACTTTCAAAAAATAATATGGTTTTAGAAAAACACTTTTAGAGAGAAAATGTGTGTTTTTAAAAAATGGTTTTTAACTTGCTGATTAAAATGTGCTACAGAAATGTTAGTATTATGAATAACTTTGGGGGTTGGGATTCTGTTTTCACAGGATTTAGGAGTTGACACTCTTCCTCCTCCTGATCCGAAACCACCCAGAGCTGAATTTAATTACAGTGTGGGTTTTAAAGATTTAAATGGTAAGCCAAACAATTTGTCTTCTTAAGATACTTGAAATTATGATGATGACTAAACTTGGAATGAATAATGATTTGCCACATAAACATATTTCATGTCAGTCATTTTCATTAAGAGGGTAACGTCATGAAGTTTCCAAAAAGCAACATATTTTTATGAAATTACAAGAGAGAACACATAATTTACACATATGAACAGGATGAGTAGGAACAGTGAAGATTTCGCCTCACCACACTAGTAATAAACTTACAAGCAGTTCCATTAAAATTAAATGTTAATCTCTATTTCAGTTCAGCTGTAGTTGACTAATGCATTCTAAGCACTGATTCAGTGCTAAGTAGCAGAAGAATACTGAAAATGATGCAAGTAAACAAACCCAGCAATATATAAGCAGAACAGTGTTAAAAGTACAGTAATAAGAAACCTGTAGTTTGGGTATAGGACAAGGCCATTAAAAAGTACTGGTCTAGGGACCAGCAGGTGGCGTGGTGGTAGAGGGCACTGGACTCCCACATGGTTCGAGTCCCAGATCTGGCGGTCCCAGATCTGGCGGCTTGCTTTCTCACTTTCTCTCTTTCCTCTCTTTCTCTCCTCTTTCTCTCTCTGTCTTTCACTGTCTCTCACACTGCCCCTTTCTGGTCAAATTAAAATAAATAAATAAATAAGTTAAATAAAATAATTCTTTATAAAAAGAAAAGTACTGATATATACAGAAAATTTAATCTGTTGGGAATTAAATTAGAAATAGATGTTTTATTGTCTTCACTTTAGAACATTAAAATAAGTTAAACGCATTTTGCCTGAAGTCATTCAGAAAGTTAATGACAAACTTCAGAATGGAATCCATTTCTATCTCACTCCCCAATTCCCTATTACTCAATATTATATTCATTGACTTAATTAACCTGTGTTAATACATTTTATCTATCTGAATAAGTCCAGTCATTTATTAATATTTAATGTAAAAATTGAATATATTAAATTTGCCTTGGAAATCGGTGATATAAATATTATGGGGATTTTTATCCCTAAAATTTTCATAAAGGATTAAAAAGCTTTTGTTTATATGTCAGCAGTCAAAATGCAGCTGAATACATTAGGAAATTATAAAAAATGTTTTCTTAGTTCTATACATATTCTCTTTGAAACCTGCTAAATTAATTAATTTTTTAAGAAAGTTATATGTAAAAATAAATGGCTTAGAAGAAAGTAAGTCCTATTTACACATTTAGGAGAGCCAATCTTTAGTCTAGTACCATGCATTAACGTAATATGCTACATGGCATTTAGGCTGATCATGTTTGGTGACATTTCACGAAGCTTTCTGTTACTGAGAAGGCTTCGTGTCCATTGCTCCGGGTGCCTTTGGGTCATCCAACACAGAGCAGCTAAAATTCTCTCCCACATGGGTCACTTCCATCCTGCCTATCTTTTGTTCAGGACATTCACCACCTGATGTGTGCCTGGTCATCAGCACATCCCACTAACTGCCCTTCAGCACCACTCCTGCTGCACCCCACAGTCCAGTCGGCCCTTAGGATCACAGTCTGGTCTACTTCAATCATCTTACAATGAAAAAATTCTAAGGGCATCTCCGCCTCCTCACTCTGAAAATCCATGTCTGCCTTCTTTTTTTCCCCCATAGGGCGCATGCGCTCACCAGAGAGACACAGAGATGGAAAATGAGAAATCAATCCCCCTACTAAGGGAGACAGCCACACTATCCCTTCTCCTTCATTCTCCTCTCAGGACTTGGGGCATGCACACACACAGGTCCAGCGTAAATTTCAAGCCACAAGGTCCAGGACTCGAAAAGGTGGGACATATGGGAGTCCAGCACTTTAACCATCACACCATGGATAAAGTGGCTGGCTGGCCCCATGCCCATTTTCTTAAACGTTGACTATGAACCCATTATTTTTGTATCAGGTCTTTTACTATTTGATCTCATAATTTTTTTTTTACTTCTTTACACCTTTGATGCTTTAATTCCTGCTAGTTATTATTAACTGCTCTTTCTTTTTTTTTATTATTATCATAATCTTCTTTATATTACATTGGATTACATATAACTTTACATTGACTTCCATTGCTTTTTCAAAAGGGAATGCCATGCATGTCAGTCAATACAGAGGCATCGATCTCCCCGCTTTATCATTCAAAGTCTTTTCCATGCATTTCCCAATAATTATTATTATTATAATTTTTTAAAACAGTCAATCACTATTTCTCATTTTGCTTGTTAAAAGACTTCACCCATCATGAAATACTTCCCAGACCAGTCCAGTTGAGAATACTATACACGTCATCTTCAACAGATAATAAACCATATCTGTTTCTCACTAACATCCCCTCTATTGTTCACTTGCTATCTTTCTCTATCCTCTTCTCTTTTTTTTTT